AGTTGAAAAAGACCCACTTTGGGTCCCCAAGGCCCAGTCTGAGAGGGGCTTAAGGTATAAGCTATCATAGCATGGCTGTCCTTTAGCATACTAGGTTACTTCTGAGCTTAGGATAAGAGCCAGCCAAGCAGACATTTCCAAAGAAATTGGACATGTGTGGCAAATGAACCTGAGGGCATTATACAGCTGTTACCCAGGTTAACAATTCTTTCCGGAGACAGGATCTTGAAGTTAGAAAAGAACCTTCTAGATCTAGTCTAGAGGTTGTAAACTAATGTACCACGGATGAAAAGTGGCTACAGATGTCTTATGTGCTCCCCTTAGTGCTTTATGTGATTTTTGAATTAGCTGCTAATATTTAAAAATTTGAAGATGTTGCATAACAAATAGATATTGTTGCTCTTGGAAAAAAAGGATCTGGCCACATTATGTCGTTGGGGCAATAATCAGCTGAGGCTGAGTAGTATCTATCTTCTTTAGACATGTGGAACCCAACCAGACAATAAACATTTTTAGATCCTGATTAAATCCAAGCAATTCATTCCACAGATGAAGAAAACAGAGTTCTAGAAAACTATCTGACCTGTCCACATTTAATGGCAGAGTCAAAATCATAAGGTTAAGTATTCTGAATCCCAGTTCTATGATCTTCAGTGAGTATAGCTGGCTCTTGAACAATATGGGGGTTGGGGTGCCGACCCCCCAAGCAGTTGAAAATATTTGACTCCCCACACGCTTAACTACTAACAGCTTACTTGACCAGGATCCTTACCGATAACATTAACAATTGATTAACATATTTTTTGTATATGTATTATATACTGCATTCTTACAATAAAGTAAGCTGAAGATGATGTTATTAAGAAAATCGTGAGAAAATATATTTACAGTACCCAACTGTATTTATCAAAAAAATCCCACATATAAGTGGACTTGCACAGTTCAAAGGTCAACTGTACTGTTGCTCTTTCCCGCATTGGATCTGAGATACACGCACATTACCTGCCTGCAGGCACTATGACAAAGAGAAACAAAACAGAACTTTTGCCTTTGCTTCATTTGTTTTCTTGGGCCAGAAATTCTTAGGGGCTGCAATCTAGTAGAGAAGTTAAGACTAGCCAGAAGCTCAAAGTCCCAGCATTCCTCAGGCTGCTGACCACACCCACAGTCTAAACTATCTGTGCTTTCTGTACAAAACACTGCACATTCCCAGCCTCCACAGATGCTCTCCTAAGCAGCTGGGTTATGAACAAACATAGAGCTTTTTCCTTTGTTAATGGCCTTTTCTCTACCCACACAGGCAGTTAGGGAACAAGAGCCTCCGTGGGACACTGATGCTGGAGAAGAGGTCACAGAGAACAGTTATAGATGAGAGGAGGATGGTAGGAGCTTGGAACTCTCTTCCCGGCTATCTTCCCAAACATCAGATGGCTATGGCCATAGCCTTCGATACATTGCTTTTAAAAAAGTGTAGGCTCCATCCAGGCTGACATAATTTACGCAAAAGATGTCCTAGCTATGCTCCACCTGAACGCAGCAACACTGATTTAGAAAAATATTTGAAATATTTAGCTTAAATAGACACAAATACATAGTATCATAGCTTCATTATATCTCAGGTCCAGGAATATCTTACCTAAAACTTCCCAGGGGAATATCTGGTTCCCTTTACATCTTGGAGATGTCAATGACACAACTATAGTCTGTGTAAGTAATTATGGGAGAAGCTGCATAAGGAATGGAATAGTAACAAGGGACACATTGACATGAGATCATTCTCTGTAAAGGTAGGAATACAAAATCAAGATTGCCTAACTTAAGGATAAGGAGAAGAGAAATCAGGTGGCAACTGAAATGGACTAGAGATTGCAAGGCTGAATAGCTGAGCAGGGACCTGGAGGGACCTGGAGTCAGAGACTCTGACCTGTGTAAAGAACCAAAAACGAATCCACACTGTCAAAGGGCAGGGCTCAAACATGCATAATGTCAATGACAGCTGAAGCCAAGAACTTGACAAGGCCTGCCTTTGCCCCGCCAAGGACCCTGGAACAGCTCCTCCATGTTTCCATGACGGAAAATGCTGCCAGGAACCAGTAGGAATAGAGGCAAGCTCTCCTTTGTGTTTCCCTGTGGGCAATGCATTTAAAAATTCCCTAGAGTCTGTATCTGCCATATATTTGGGTGCCAAGTCCCTAAATTCTTCAAATTCCCAAGCCATACATCTGTTCTGTACAGGTCTATTGATGCTGGCTATTGCACAGCCTACTGGGAGCACAAATGAAGTACCAGGCAGTTGGCTATGGTCAAAGAGGACTTGTCTATTCCTCTTCAACTAAGAAAGATTTCTCCTTATTGACACAGAGATTTTTCTAGTACACCATTTAGACTAATGCTTTCCCTGCTTACTGAATATACAGTGATTATAATTTCTCAGAACTAAATAAAACAATATGAGATTGTTTTTTAAATGCGCTTTTTCTCTTTTAACACTCAACCCTTTCAAAAGCTGAGGCTGTTCATGCTCTTGAATTAAGAGGCAGCCCAGAAGACAGGCTAGGCTCTATATAATAGGAAAAAACTAAAGCTCAGAGAAGGACACAATTAGTCTGTTACTCACTGGGGACACCAAGAAACCCTCATTAGGGCTGGAAGCCCTTTCACAGCTGTCAGCACCAGCTCAGTACTAAATCAGACTTCAGGGGTAGGACCAGGAAAGCCTTGGTAAGACCATTTATAACCGCCTTGTCAAAGACCCAAACCTTCCTTTGTCTAGGACTAGTCACTCAATTCAAAACTATGCAGTTTTTAAGTACCACATCCTTATGGAGAAAGTCCAACAGTGGTGAGGAAATGTTAGTCCTCTCAACATGGCAGTGTGTAAAAGAAGAATCACCATCATGTACATGATGATTTGCAAAAAAGTGGCTCAGAAAAGCTTTTCAGGAAGATGTGGTCAGCAGTATTCATTAGCCCTTCACACCTGCAGGTTTAATAATTTGGTTAGTTCTTCATCTTCCTTCCTGCTTGAAGCAACTGGCTGCTTAGCTATTAAGGCTAGAATCTAAACAGGCTGTCACAGGACTATGTTCCCTCTTCCCACACTGTGCTTTTTCATTTTAAGTCTCTGCCTCAGAGTTTAGCCTCTGGTATGGTTAAGTTTAAGCACTTATTGAACAGAACTTCCAAATGATAACAACTATAAACTTGACAAGACATAAAAAACTACCTGAAGGCACTGGAGAATGAACAAAAAGCAGGCAGATTCTGGAGACAGGTTGAAACTTAGAAGAAGGAAATGGAACAAGGTGAGTTCCCATTTTTATGGTTTTTAGGCTGACTGAAAACTGCAGTTGAAGAATCAGAGAAAACCAAAGATTCAGAGCAACCACAGCTGTTAGAAAGTGAGGGGGAAATCTCAGAAAAAGAGAACCAAAGAAAAGAGAATGAACCTCAAATTCTGTGCGTAAACTCCATGCAAATCTCTGGCGGACCCCTGAACCACACATGTGCGGGGCAGACTTCAGATAATGATAAAAGAACTGAAATGAGATTTGAGCTGCTGCCTAAAACACAATGTAGTTTGAGGCCAATGAAGTTAAATGCCTGCCAATGCAAACAAAATCAGCACTCTCTTCAGAGGAATATAACAGAACTCAGAGAGTAAACACTGAAAACATTCAGTTGTACACAATCTAAAATCACTCAGTATTTGAAGAACCTGAAAAATAAGACTCTTTCTCTAGAGAAAAGACAAACAATGGAAACCAACTGTGAGATGATTCAGATGTTGGATTTAGCAGAATTTTAAAGCAGGTATAACTATGTTCACTAAAGCAAAGCAAAAGCCTGCTTGTCATGAATAAAAACAGGAAATCTCAGCAGAGAAATACAAGCAGAGTAACATATACTATCATTAATGACTCACGTTCTGAAGACAAGTAAGATGGGAATTAGAAAACAACTCATATTCAAAAGTATCTCTGTTTAGGGGGAGATTTTTATTTCAAATGACTTTTATTTGTACCAAAACGAAATTGAAAGTTGCATGCTGACACTATAGGTAGGTAGTTTTTGCTCTTTGGAAGACTTGACCAGAGAGAAGTCAAAAGAATTTAGGGAAGTTTGGTGGGGACATTTTGCATATAGGTATTTTCATTTAGTGAGAATGTGAAAGATAGAGTTTTCTGTCTGGTATTCCTGGTATTCAACCAGGTCTGCTACTAGTTCTTAATGGATCAAATTCTTCTCTCAGAAGGTAGAACAGATGCTATGAAATATTCTTGCCATACATCTAAAGGAGACAGGCTGCAGAAAATAGCCAGTGACTCTACAAGGAGAAGAGTGATGTTCAGAGAGAAAGCATAGAGGGCATCCAAGTCTTGTCTTTTGAAGTGATTCTCTCATGGAATTACTAAATGAAGTATATGGAAAGGATAATCTCAAGCCCATTTTGGATCTCACACTGGTTCCTTTCTCCCTTGTTTGGATAATTCTACATATTGTGAGATATGTACTTTAGAAACAGAGACAGCTTCCCAGCTCCAAAGGTTCCTGGTATTCTCAAAAGCAGGACATGATAGGAAAGGGCACAACTTGCTTCCTGGCTAAAACAACAGGACTCAACTCACAAAGAGTGGCAATAAGAAATGTTATCAACAAGACTGAAATTGTTTGTTTTGGAAATGGAAGTCACAGTTCCTCTGGGGCAAGAAGTGTGATTATTTAATTCAATTAAAACAAACAATGCCCAAAGTAAGAAAATAAAAGCTCTCAAAGAGTATTCTTAGCAACTTTGTAATGCATACCAACTAAATTCAGTTTTCAGTGTTAAAATGGACTAATGACTCTTTGACCTAAGACCTGAGTAGTCACTCAATCAGAAACAGAAAAAAAAAAAATAATAATAATCAGAAAAACTATAAAACTCCTCTTTTTATCATAGTTTTCCTACTTAAAACTTAACCACCAAATCATCCAATGATGTAAAATTCTAGAAACTACAAAATTCCTTTTTAAAATTTATTTTTTGTTATCAAAGAGAATGTCCAGAAACATTGAGTACTAAAGATCTGTTCATGGCATTGTTTTACAAAAGTTCCTAATGGAGTGTGAATATTTTATTTTCTGATGTATCCTTCACTTATTAATGATGAGGTGGGTGAACTGATGCAATTACTTAAAAAAAAAAATCCAGACAAAAACATCCATTCTCATTCTGAATCTGCTGATTGGAGTGAATTCAGTGGTTACAACAGCACCACTGGCAAAGGATCAACCTCCTGACGTAGGGAGCTATTCGGGGTCTTCTCATTAGGTCACAAAGGTCTTTCAGATATAGGCACCATGTTTGAAGTCTCACACAAAATGTCTGTGTCACTTAAATTACACAATGTGGCAGTGTTTGTCTCATGGGGACATAATCTTGAAAGAAGGGGCAAAATAGAAAACAATCTGTTTGTATGTTATATGTGAGTACATTATTGGACTGTGCATGAGTTTAAGGGCATTGTGGCCCTTGTTAAAGAGTAATTCCACCAATGAAGCATCTGTCAGTTCCCAATTGCTCCTGATGCTTGAAGGTGTCTACTCATTTCACCATGTGTTGTAAGGTCAGGGCCTTCTTCATCTACTGTTTGGCTCAAATGGTTTTAACTGAGTTTAGTTGTCCTTCTCTTCCATCTAAGCTTTACTTCTCAGCCTCAGGATATGTGGGGTACTTGACCGTTTCTATCTTCTCTCGGACTTTGTAGGAGGGATATAGGCCCGTCCTTCCCAGTTTCCTGTTGACACCTTTAGAATAGCCATCCCAATGATTTCCAGCCACACCAATGATATCTCCAGGTTCCATGGGGATTTCATCTACAGTTCGAGGTTGGTGAGGATAAATGGCAATCTGGTTGTGGGCATTTTGGCCCCCAAAATAGTAGATGTCATCCAAAGAATGGAAGTTTGCAGAAGCATCAGGATGAAGTGTTTGCATGATTTCATAAGCGACTCGACAGACCTTGGGAAAGAATGAAAAAAAAAAATGTATTAGTATACATGAGATCTTCTTCATAGCAAACTGAAGGCCCTTGACTAAACAGACTAAGACTAGAACAGGACTACGACCGGGAGGATGGGAAGTAGTAGATTCTAGTCACAAGTTTTTACTCTATTTGCTCTGAGATACGGTACAAATCATTCTTCATCTTTGTGTATCTTTTTTTTTTTTTAAACATATAAGATTACTATAGCTATGGTCTTTGGGAACAAAATATAAACTACAACGTACTTTAAGAAGATGAATCAGTTAGTTTTAATGAACATTTATTAAGAGCTTCACAGTACACCTCGTGTTGAGCACTGGTTACAGAAAAATGAGTAAGACATAGTTCGTGTCCTTGAAGAATTTAAAGTTGAGGATTAGGAATATAAATACTTTACACAAACGCTGCTGCTCCCTTCCCTTCATTCAGTCTCAATCAAATGCATACTCTCTTCTGCTAGATTTGGACTTGATCTCAGAACTCTTCTCAAAAGAAATTCATGTAATTATTGACAATGAACTAGCTTTGGCAAGTGAGCTAAAACATATCTGCCATTTCTGTTCTAGAGTTTTAAGTGTCCTGAGTAGATATAAGCATTCGAGGACTGAAATAAGATGTGCTAATCTTTGGTGAAGATGTATCTGCCTGATGCATGTAAAGCTACTTAAAAGATTCCTATGTCCAGAGAATATCTACCATGCCCACTGGATGGCCACTGAAATTCCACAATCTGAGATTCACACACTGAATCTGATGCTTGGTGATAAAGTTGAACTATAACTATTTTCATAGGGGGATAGCATTTTAAGCAATTAAAAAATATGTTCATTATAGAGCAAATGGGTTTCAGGAACTTCTCTAAAAATAGGTGAAGACAGAAGAGAGAATGCTATCATTTTGCTTCTTCCATTATACATTGTGAACAGAGAACTCAAGTCATATTAAAAAAAATTTTTTTTCCCTAAATCTCCAGTTGTAGTTGTCTCAGTTAATTAAGCTTTATTGTCTCTATACCAATACTTTTGCATTTATTTAAAATGATACTACTAACAGTAATTGTTGACCTGCTCAGTGGAGCAATTTAGGATTGCCCAACAGTCTTTTAAAACTCTGGTATTTTTGAGATCAAAAGTGAGTGGAGACACTCATCCTTAATTGTTATGAGCAAATGAAATCTGATTAGGTTAAGCATCACCTTAACTTCTTAAAGAATCTGAATTTCAGGAACTTGAGGGATGCTTTTCAAATGCTATATGTAACTTGCAAATGAAACTAAGTTTAGACAATATTTAAAATTTTGCAAATATGGACTAAAATACAAGGAGAATCAGTGACCTGCCCAAATTCTAGTGCTAGAATTTCAACTAGTCATAGAACGAAGACAATGACTTTACTTGTAAGTTTCTACTTCATTAACAAACTAACTTTATATTGGGGATGCCATGGTACAACTGAGATCACCAGTAGAATACTGAGACTATAGCAAAATGAGGGTCAAAAAGGTTTGGAATGGGAACGCCAAAGTCAGCCAAAGGCCCACACAGGGCAAGCAAAATCAAGTGGAGCATCTGGGAAGGAAGAAACTAATTAAAACAAAGCAGCTCGGACAATAGCCAAGTATAGTTAACAGTGATAGAGGCTAATATTTTCTGAGTTTTTGCTGTCGGACATTGTTTGTAGGTATTATTTAATTTAATCCTCTAAGTAGCCCCATACAATTCTATCATACTCATTTTAGAGGTGTCAAAGTTCAGTTAAGGAATCTGCCCAAGGTTACACTATTATTAAGTAGTAGATTCCAGTTTGGAACTCAGACAGTTTGTGTATGTTTGTAAACTCCTAAGCATATTTTGTCTTGTAGATCCTGTTCTCCATGTTTGGATTATAACACCAGAATGGTAAAACATAGGGCCAAGGCAAGCCATGGGCAAACCTGACAGTTGTTCCCCACCACCCCCCACCCCCGAGCCCCTCCACTCACTCTTCAATTATATCTAGCCAGGAATGCAGGAGCTTGCACTGCCCTTGGGAGGACCACAATGTCAGTGTGGCAACAAACCCTGATGTAGCTCCTCCTCTCCACTATTAAGTGTCTCAGTCTCATAAAGACACTGCCTTCAGTCCTATACCCTTAGGGACCTGCTTTCTTTGGGGGATAATCCTAATAATCAATATATATTTTGGTATCCACAGTTGTTGCTGTGTCAGCCTATGGATAACATGTATTTTCTTCAAAGAAAGAAAAATGAATGGTAGAAATTTCAGACACTGAGATGGGCCAATATGGGGACCTTTATCCTTTTCATAATAATGGTAACCCTATGAGTTGGTTGCTGTTATTATCCATATTTTACAGCAGAAGAAACAAGCCCCAGAAATATTAAGTAGATTTCAAAAAAAAGGGGGGGAGGGATAGGGGAGGAAGGAGCTAGTAAATGGTAGAGCCACAATCACAGTTCTTTTGGGCTCTCAGCTGTACACTAAACTGTCTTAGGATAAGAACCTAGTACTGTGTCTGCCACATAGTAGGAGCTCAGAAAGAGCTGTTGAATGAATACTGCTTCATTCATAATACTAGCCTAGCAGTGAAGATACAAGTCCATGAGTGGTATTTAATCCCCAAGATCCCATATAACATTCTTTGTAGTTAAAAAATTTCTCTATTTTAGCCATCGGGAAAATTACTGCAAAGGGCTAGAAAGAGTACTATAATGTTGATGTTTGCATTTAATTACCCTAGGCTTCATCACTAGGCTTTACTAATCCAAATTGTGTGGCAGGTAAATGAAGGCTTTCAGTTGATATCAATACTCAGTTTGATACTAGACAGGTAGCATGATGGATGCAAACCCTCTGGCTTACAAAGCAGTGGCTGGCCATATGTAGTAAGTTTCATTTCATTTATTTCATATCAGTGTATCATTTAGTACACCACTAAGCACACAGTAATGGGTAAGAGCAAAAATGTTGCCAAAGAATAAAACACAGATACAACTGTATTAAACCAAATAAATAAATAAGGAGAGGAAGGTCCATTAACCTGAATTTTATCCCTGAGGAGTAACCAGCTGAGTTTATATGAGACTCCAAAGCCTTCTCAGAGCAGATGGGATCTTGTTTTGTTGTCAAAATAGATGGGGCTGGGAGATCTCCTAGTGTGAGAAGTTAGAAGTAGTTCTGGTCTCTTTTGGTGATGCTGAGAGATCCATGCACTTTTCCTACAAACTATGTTGTTCTGCTATTTGATGAGAGAACAAACAATATCCACTGTTGTTTCGTGGGCCATACCTCAATGCCAGAGTCATCTGTCTAGAATAAAATGAATGTAGTATATGGTTTTTCCCTTTGGGCTTTCCAACATCTGATTCGAAGTGTAATGAGGCCAGTTGTGTTATGTGTGGATTTGGAATCAGACAACGGAGAGTGCCATGAGTATGTTGTATTAAGTGTGAAAAAGGGAAGTGTCACAGGGGGGAAAAAAGTAAACTTGTCCTATGGTGATTTTAATGGTTGAAACTACTGAAAAATGTTGACTGCTTCTTAAACAATGCTGTTGACCCAAAGCCTACTTTAAAGTGAGCATCTATGACAATGTCTGTAATCTGATTACAGAGTAATAAAAACTGATTCAAAAATCTGATAAACAATAATAACTTCTGTTATTTCACCAACTTCAGTTTCTTTGCTTCATATTTAAGACAGTTTTATTAAATAGGAAAATAAGTGACAAAGTAGATGCTTTGGGTATAGGCAACTTCAGTAACACAGAACACGATTACAGTATTTGGTAGAATAGTTTGGAATGTGATTGCACAGCTTTCAAAACTTACTTGATGTTCTTGGAAAATGTTAATACTGCCTCTAATTTTCAGATTAAATCCTGAGGATTGTTTTCTTCAATTTATGAGGCTTTTAGAACAAACTTGGTTTTGAGAAACAGTTCTGATGAAGGGATTCAGAAAACTAAGTGCAACAACAGTAACAAAATTAGAGCATAGAGTCATATTATTGGCTTAAAAAAAATTTTTTTTTTCATTTAAGGAGAGAAAATTCCCAGATCCCATTTATGAATATAAAACCAAGAAAACTTAGAAGCCCTGAGACTGAGGGGGATGGGTCCAAAGCCTTATAAGGAATCCCGATTAAGGTGCCGTGACAGTCATGCCTATAGTTTCTCAAACATCAATCAAGTCTTGCATTTTTCCTTTGGGCATGACATTTCATTCTTCCATTGTCATTTACAGTCGTTCATGGTCAACACATAAACTCTTTCTCACTATTCTCTTAAGCTGTAATAGTGCTCAAAGGATAGTTCACAGGAGACAAAACTGTCAAAGCATTATGAAGAAGATATTAAACTTGTTGTCACTTTCTAATAATCTCTTGGAATATCAAGGAAAGTTTGAGAGTTGGTTGTTCATATTTTATTCTGGGCTGAGATTTGATTCCCAGTATTTTATTCTTTTGTCACCATTTTGGAAGTTAACATTTTAGTCTTCTCCCATTTTCTAGTATGCCTATGGCATATATAGGAACATCTGCAGGTTAATTTCCCTAAAGTCAACAAGTACATAATTTTACTTGCACTTGTTAAAGCAAATACTATTACTTATCATTTACCCTTTGGGAATGAAGAGCTTTTGTTCCTGAAAATTTATATTATATGGTGATGTTCTCTTTCAGTAGCTAAATAAAATAGAGTTGAGGTGGCATGTTGGCACAGAGAAATTAAAATGTTGAATGTTACTGGCTACTCTTCTCAATGAAGAACGGTTATACCCGCTCAATGCACATGATTATTTGGTGGAACCTAAGCATTGCCCATGAGCACAAGCAGAAGTAACAGAGTCCTTGACTATCATGTTTCTCGCTCCTCCTAAAACATGAGACTGTATGGTCTGAAATGGGGCCATGTGAAAAAAGCTTGCTAAAATAAATACCGTAGAGTCTCTCTAACAGGTAAAGGTATTCCTATACCTTTCCCTACATAAATGACAATAGCTACTAACATTGTATTTAATACATCACTAAGTACTTCTCAGTGCTTTACATATAACTTTTAATCATCCCCAAAACTCTATATAGTAGGTGCTACTACTATTTTACAGGCAGGGAAAAATAGGTCAGTGACATTCTAAGTAATCTGTTCAAATGTCACCCAGATATACTAAGTGGTCAAAGTTAGATTTAAACCCAGACTGATCCCAGAATCCATGTTGTCTCAATCTTGTTCTCTGCCTAGAAGTCAATGGCTTGGCATTTTGATACTATCCGTGACTTTTTCTCACACTCCATTGGCGACTATGATGAGACATTTCTGGGGCAATTTCAAACAATTCCAATTTTGGATTATGGCAAGAGAACTTCTACAATCAAGCAACCAATTTCATTCACACTGTAAAAATAGTGAACCGTACCAAACCCATTTTTTTCTAAAAATATTTTCAAAAAATGCTGGAGTGTAAGTAAGCCCAAAGATTTATCAGTGAATGTGGAATTATTCCAATCTCAAAGGCTACAGCTGATAGTCATCAAGAAAGGTATGTGATGATGGCAGTGATCATGTTTAGCAAACTGCTACTCATCATGTAAGTGTATTTTTACTGTTAAACTTTTAATTCTGAACCCTAACATAAAAACTTCTGAGATATTCAAGTCTATTTTGGGATACAAGGTATTAGTTTGAGTTTTGCTTTGGTTCAAATGAATAAAAGTTATTTTGGATGAACCCTTACTTGTCAAGCGTTTTTAGAAACAATATAGTATATGCACAAATCTCATTCCTTTGGAGAGAAAAAGTGCTCTGAACACCACTCTTTCTTTTTTTTTTTATTTTTTTTATTTAAAAAAAAATTTTTTTTTTCAACGTTTATTTATTTTTGGGACAGAGAGAGACAGAGCATGAACAGGGGAGGGGCAGAGAGAGAGGGAGACACAGAATCGGAAACAGGCTCCAGGCTCCGAGCCATCAGCCCAGAGCCTGACGCGGGGCTCGAACTCACGGACCGCGAGATCGTGACCTGGCTGAAGTCGGACGCTTAACCAACTGTGCCACCCAGGCGCCCCACCACTCTTTCTTCATATGAACAACTTCTCTGAACCTGAGGTCTGGAGAACACACTGAAGTTGATATTATTCACAAAATAGAACAAAGTAGTATAAACAATAATACGCCCCTCAAGCTTGGACGGATTTCCACTATCATCAAGTAAGAGAAGTTCTGATTTCTGGGTTGAAGTTAGAATCATGAGGTTGTATGAATCAAAAATTCTACAGCACATCCTTGAAAAGAAAAAAAAGATTTTCTTTCCAGAATGAGCCTAATGGCATTATTAAGAGCTGGAAGAAGGAAAGCAAAATACAGCACATCCCTATAAGTCTCTGTGCCTGCCTACATGTAAGGCTGCTCAATGTTCAGACATGTATATATTTATTTCATTTTCCAGCTTTCTGACCACAGCAGTGATTCTCAATAAAGGCGATTTTGTCCTCCCCACTGCTGTGGGATATTTGGCAATATCTGAAGATATTTTCAGTTGTCACAACTTGAGATGGGGGTGCTATTGGCCAGGAACGCTGCTCAGTATCTTACAATGCCCAGGACAGTACCTCACAACAAAGTACCTGACTATAATGCTAATAGTACCTAGGTTGAGAAACCCTGGACTTTAGATAGGCCTAAAATCTAGGCCTACAGAGGAGGTGCTCCACTTGGGAAAAATGACCCTTGATTCACTTATTCAAAACAATAAGCATTCAAAAATGTGTATAGAGGTAGTTACTAGTCATTTGCACCTGTTGATCAGGTGGGCACCTAGCCAGATTCTCAGTAACAGTTGAGAGAGACCAAGTAATTATAACTCCTCCTGTCTACCTCCTATGAGAATAGAAAAGGGAGCTTCTCAAAGATGGAATCCTCATCCCAGTTAGGAAAAAACATCAGCAGTGGGTGCCTTCATGGGAACTTGAAGGCCAAGGAAATTTTCTGTTCTGATGAGGACTGCTGCTATGTGGCTTCTGTTCTGGGTAGCTGTCTCTGGGTAGGTTGTATTCTTATTCCATACTGAAGGAACTCCTAGTCTTTGCTGAGACAGGTATCTTTCCAACAATCATATCATTGTCCCATTGTGACAATGTGCATTGTCACAAAATTAAAAAAAAAAACAACTGTCCATTTCTTTATACTCTCTGAAGTATATTCCCATGAAAATGATGCGACCTTCCTTTTCACATTTTCTTTTCTCTGCTTCTTTTAAGCTTTTAGGCATACATTTATCTTACATGATCTATATTTCTTGGTAATTATTCTCCAATTATTTCATATGAGTATTTTGCTCACTAGATTCTGGACCAGGGTAAGATCTATATACTCAATCTCTCTGGAAATCCCCTCTGCACCTAATATAATTCTGAGCACAAATAGTCATTTAACAGCTTGTTGAATGAACTAACCAGTAATATGCACATAAATGAGAGAGCAGAATAAAACCAACGATAAATATTTCTATGCTGATATTCCACTGTGTATACAAGGCTGATTGGGCCACTCACAAAAACAAATACACCAAGCCACTACCATACAATTATCTGCAACAATTAAACTCAAAAGAATGATTACAATATGGTATTGCTTAAATTTAATGTATAGTTTCTTGCATGGTAGAAATGTAATAGGACTTGAAAAAGAATTACATTTACTCTTTATTTTCTATAAAGCAATTGAGTGAGACACAATGCTTGGCATTTCAGTCTCTCAGTATCAGTGCATCGATGTGTAGAAGTGGATGGATTCCGGCTGCATACTGACTGTATGCAAAATCAGAAAGTATTAAGTAAGTGTACTTACTTGCTATTTCAGTTCAATGCTGTGAACATGCCAAGTACTTTAAACAACTCCAGTAGCGGCTTCAGCAGAGATGTATTCAACCATTGCTGGCAAGCAACTAAATACTCGGTGTACTTGAATAGCTACTTTTTTGCAGGGGAAGGGGATGGAATTTCCCCATTCTTTCACAAAAGGGATTGTTCCCAAATATTAAGAAAATTACATCTGAGTCATGATAACTTTAAACACACACACATACACAAACCCAAGAACTTCCTGAACTCAATATGACCAAAAAATACTGACCACTTAAAAATACCCTGCTATCACTTACCTGGGATGAAAAAGTACACACTAGGAAGTCTGCCTGGGAGAGAAAGTGTATATCCAGGATCACACCCCGAAGCGAATTTTCTGTGTATCGATTGTGTAGTCCGGCTGACCAAGAGATAGAGTTATCACTAATAAATTCGTAAGTGGGGTACCTGTAAAAAAGAAATAAATTTTTACATAGTCACTGAAATCACAGTACTCTATCAGGATGTAGTATCTTATCAGGAGGAGGCAGAACTCCTTTGACCAAAGCTCTTTTTTCTAACAGTAAGGAGAGCTTTAATTATGGTGTTCAATAGAGTAGTTGATGACGCATCTCTGAATCCATCAGTGGGATAGCAAACATTCTGGAGTATGTTACATGTTATTGGCACATCATATAATATACACGTACATGTATCAAAATGACCCCTCACGTATCAAAATTCGTAAGAGTTGAAGGCTCCTTATTTTCTTTGTAATGAGTGACTTCTATGAGGTTTTTCAAGCTGCCTTCACATTTGGCCATTGAACTTTTCCTTTAGAATATAAAAATCGTGATTAAATTTCATTTAAATTTTTGACTTAGAATTTGTGATCATTGATACTTATCTCCCCTAACCCCCATCCTCAAAGCACCATCTTACCAACAAAAATAATCGAAAACTAGTTTAATTCATTTATAAAAACAAATTCCTTGTAGATGTCAACTAAGCAAGATTTTGGTAGTCTTGAGATCGGATATGTGCTTAAAAATATTAAAACAGGATATCTTTAAAAAGCCTACCATATGTTCAAATGATTCTACTGTGAATTAAGAGGTTTAATTATACTCTAGTATAGAGTGAATACATTTTCTTAGTGCATGGGGTAGATCTTCAGAGTTAAGTTGCAAACTTTGGGACTTACAAGAAAATGGGCTAATAATCGTACCTGCTTTATATAGTTTTGTAGGAATTAAATACATTAAGCAATGTAAAGTGCATAGAGGAGTCCCACACATGTAGTAAATGCTCAGTAAATATTAGCTGTGATTGTTAAACATTCTTCTGCGGATATCCAGCTGGTCTTATTCCTTACTTCCTTTAGATCTCTGCTGAAATACAGCCTTATTAGTGAGGACTTTGGCAATTTCTATCTCTTTCACCTGCTTAACTTTTCTTCATGACCTTTATTATCATTTGACATAATATGTATTTACTATTTATTTACTGCTTGTATCCATTCCCACCTCCATCATCCCTAAGTGGAATGTAAACTCTATAATGAGGCATTTCATCTGCTTTGTTCAATGTATTATTCTCAGTACCTAGAAGAGAATCCGGAATACAACAGGATCAATGAATATTTGTTGACAGGGTAATAGTTCCTATTTATAAACCCCGAACCATCAAGAGTCAGTTTACATGTCTGTCTCCCACACAGTATTCCCCAAAGGTCGGGACTATACTTTTCTTGGCATCACACAATGTTGTGTGAGTAAATACATGCTATATCGGTAGTACTCACTACCTATGTCTGGGACTTCTTCCTCAGCCCCTAACAGCTGCTTCAGATTTCTCTCCATTTCACAGCCACCAAGGAGCTTCTTCTCATTGCCTCTAATGATGACTGTGACGGCAAAGTCTCCGAATGCTGTTTCAGACTGGTAATCAGTGTTCAGATCCATTTGGCTTCATTATTTTTGACATTTTACCCTCCTCAGCCCTGAATCAGGGAGGCGAAGGAAATGTCACATTTGTTCTAAAAAGAAAACAACCCCAAGGACTTTTAATGTGATTCTTGTGGAGCTGCATATCCAGGTATGGGGCAGAAACAGCAACAAATAAATATGAAAAGGCCGGAGGAGAGAGGAGAGGGAATTGTTAAAACACACCAGTACAATTTTTATCCTGAATAGAAACTAACTCTGTCAGCAAGGTTTGGGTGCTGAATGAAAAGAAAAGAGTGATCTTTTTACTGAGAAGTGACAGTAACTTTAATGCCCTTCCTAACTTAAAGACCCCTCCCTAGAACCAAACCAAAAGAACACCTAAGTTCCTCAGGGCTCATCTGTATGTGCAAAAGACTGCTTGATGAAGGATACTGAGTTTGGAAAAAGAAACTGAAACAAAGTAAATAATGGAAGAGGGAGACTTTGCATCTCCAATAATGAGCATGGAAATTTTTGCACAAACATGCTCCTTTCTTGTCTTTTGCCCATAAGTATGTTGGCAGAGGAATTCTTTTACTGTGAGGTTGTAGAGATTGGCAGTGATAAAAAGAATATTTTTTTCCTCTTCCACCTTATAAAAATTTGTTTATATTACTCACAAAGGACTAAGTTAAAGTTATAAACTGACAACACATTTTCTTTTCTAAAGTCTTTCTCCAGGCTGAGGGAGATACTCTTCATGATTTCACTGCACCTGGTATACAACTCCTTCTGGACATCCATCTAACTATACTGTAATTATTTGTTACACGTATACTGCCCACCAGTTGGATACTCCTGAAAAAAAGGAGCAGCATATTATCTCCTACTTCTCTTTGTATTCCTAGTGCCCTGTAACTGTATCTAGCATATTACAGTTCAATAAAATAATGAAAAAATTAACCACTCTTTACGGCTGAGCCTTCATTTCACAGGGCAACCAAACACTTAACAAAAACTTTTAAATAAGTTTTTCTTCTTTTTTTTTTTCAACGTTTATTTATTTTTGGGACAGAGAGAGACAGAGCATGAACGGGCGAGGGGCAGAGAGAGAGGGAGACACAGAATCGGAAACAGGCTCCAGGCTCTGAGCCATCAGCCCAGAGCCCGACGCGGGGCTCGAACTCATGGACCGTGAGATCGTGACCTGGTTGAAGTCGGACGCTTAACCGACTGCGCCACCCAGGCGCCCCTTAAATAAGTTTTTCTTGCCTCTATTTACGTAAATCAAACTAAGTTTAGGAGTGCTCATCTAGCATTTTTGATAAAGAACAAACTACATATGTAAATATTTACCCTGGGAGATTTTTAAAGACTTGTTTCTTCTCCTGTTTCACCCCTGCTCCCAATCTCCACATCTTAGGATACAATGTTGGATAGACAACTTTAATAGTTCTTACTTCTTTGCCAATGAGTGTGATTTAAACACTCTACCAGTGAATTACCTAAGAGAGTTATCTCCACATTGGCAATGGTTGCCACAGTCAGTGGGATGCGGGTGCCAAAATCTCACGGATGAACTCAGTCTTAACCTAGAGAAACCTGAGGTATGATACCAAGCAGCAAGACATTAACTGCTCATTTTCACACAGAAGCCACACATATAAAGCTAACCTTGACCGCTTTTACAAAAGATAAGCTACCCAGAAAATAGATTCTCCTCTGACTGTGTGAATTCTATGTATCATTTAACCATCATTCTCAGTTCTTTACCCTCTTGAAGCACAAAGTATCATAATGACCCTGTACTCAATATACTGTGATGAGAGATTCAGTCATGCTTCTGGTCTCCTAAAACAATGGCAGAGCTTTTATGATTTGCTTAGGTTTCAAAACCAATCCTGACAGGTCTAAAGCAGAGTTAATTCAGAGTAGAAAAACACAGAAGCAAAATAATGAGAAACAGCATCTACATTCCTGAGAAGATCTTCAAAATGACTCAGAAAATTAAAATGAAAGGACTTGCAAAGAGGTAAAAAAAAAAAAAAGTGCATAAAATGCTGCTGCAACATTTCTAACAGAATATGGGAAAGCTGTCTATTGAACTACCATAGACAGAGGAGATAGTAGCTGCTGACCATGAAAAGGAAATTCAAGTTTTACTAGTCCCATAATCGTGGTAACTACTAATGCCAACTGTACTGTAAGGGTTGCTTAATACAAAAATACCATGCTGTACTATGGATCAAAGTTGTAAGATGCCCATATCCTTTTATCTAAATATTTCCAAAGCCTGAAACCTAGCTTAAGGAAATAATGTGGATAACTTTAGGAACACACTGTAGCATTATTTATAAGAGTAAAAAACTGGAAATGACGCAAGTGTCCAATATTAGAATGAGCAAGTAAGCAATGGCACATCCATACAGCAGGTATGTAGTCATTAAAGGGGACATTTAAGATAATTAGTTTTTTAGTGACCTGAGAAAATGGATCCATTGCTGTATTAAGTAAAAAAGAGTTCAAATTATATAGAACAGGATCAACTACTAAAATGGGTAACTATATAAATGACTAAAGGGAATATATCAACATTTAAATAGCTGTTTCCACTGAGTAATAGGACTGTGGGTATTTTTTCTTGCTTGTATAGTTACCAACTTCCATATCGTCTAATAAGCATGAATTATTTTGCTCATCAAGGGAAAAAAAACAGGAAAAGCTTGTGATGCTTCAAGAACAAGTAAAAGAGTAGATAACATTTTAATATTTTTTCAATTAAGCTACAAATTCAATCTGGTATTTTAAAATGAAGAAGCATGGTGAACTATTTCTACTCTGCTTCTAGATATCAAACTGGAAAAGTATCTGTGAAAATTTTGTATTGTGTTTTCTGCCCAGATGTTCATTTAATCCTTAACTGTAAGTATGTAACTTGGCTTACACTTGACTGATGAATTTCATGGTCCTGTGTATGTCAGTGAGAGAGTGAGAGTGAGAGTGAGAGAGAGTGAGAGTGAGAGTGAGAGTGAGAGTGAGAGTGAGAGAGAGAGAGAGAGAGAGAAAGAAAGAATATACTCATAGAGGGAGTCTTAAAAGAAAAAGCGACTTATATCCAGTTTAGATTCTTAGGAGGGAGAAATAGGATTTAAACTATTATCCAATGCTTCGAATAAACATCTACAGTATAGTCCTCACTTCGAATTTGTTTTTCTCCCCAACCTCTATTTGTGACATAAGAAATGGACCAAAGAATAAATAAATTAAAAAGTCACTAGCTTAAGTGATTAACATCTAATAAAATGTTTTCAAACTGATGGAATTGAAATAAACATAATTCAGTACTTACTGGGCACTTACTAGAGGTAGTTACTGTGTCTAAAGTACTTCTAATCCAGTGAGGGAGACAGAGGTAAGCAAGTGCTAAACACCAAGTCAGAGCGATGCAGACAGGAGGGACACTTCGGGATTCAGGGATGATTTCTGGAGCAAACAGTGTCTGAGCAAAGCTAAGAACACAGATTCTTCTCCCTCATTCCTTTCTTTCACATATTTAATACATCCCTTATTTATTAATAATAAGTAAAGGCCAATTCTAGGTTCACCTAGATCCTATGATAAATTCCCAATTAGGATCAGTGTGTTTATGTGTTTTCTTAACCCCCTATGTTAACCCTATAGTAGCACTATTCATACTGTAGAGTATGAGTAATTGTCTGTTCCCCCACTAGATTGGGAATTCCTTGAGAGCAGAGTTATCTTGCTTATCACGGAATCGCCAGCACCTAACACAGTGCCTGAAATATAGGCATGCTCTATAAATGACAGATTACTGTTTTACTGTTCAATACATACTAGCAGTTCTTACTCTTCCACTTATAAAACTTATCTTCTGATTCTTTATTTTTCTTTAATATAACTTCCAAGTTCCAGAATTTTTTTTATAAGATGAACACTTACACATATTTAAAAAAAATTTTTTTTAACATTTATTTATTTCTGAGAGACAGAGAGAGACAGAGCATGAACAGAGCATATGAAGGGGAAGGGCAGAGAGAGAGGAAGACACAGAATCCAAAGCAGGCTCCAGGCTCCGAGCCGTCAGCACAGAGCCCGACATGGGGCTCGGACTCACAAACCACGAGATCATGACCTGAGCCGAAGTCAGACGCTCAACTGACTAAGCCACCCAGGCACCCCAACTCACACATATTTTACATACGTTTCAGTTGCCCATTAATTGCTAGTGAAGATAGTGAGAGCAAAAAGGCAAGCACCTGGTATGTTTTATTGCTATCAGTCCTATAGAGTTGGTTAGAGTTCTGGACTGAATGTTTGTGTCCCCCTAGAATACCTATGTTTGAGCTGTGATAGTATTTGGATATGGGGCCTTTGGGAGATGATTAGGATTAAATAAAGTGCATGAGAATGGGGCCCTCATGACAGAATTAATGCCCCCACAGGAAGAGACACCAGAAAGCTTGCTCTCTCTTCCAAACACACAGAAAGGTCATGTGAGTACACAGCAAGATGGCAGCTGCCTACACACCAAGAGAAGAGGCTTCAGAATGAAATATACACCTTACTGGCACCTCAAATACTCTTTGATTATATTAACAGTCACAAAGGTACACAGTTGTTTGAATTAAAAAAAAAAAACTCCAATAATTAGTAATAATATTATAACAAGAATGACAAGTCATGGGAATTAAGGATTCCTTTCAACTGAAAAAGAGTCCTGGTCTAGAATCACTAGTTCATTTAACTTACTTTGTTTTTGCCTCCTTTAATAAAGAAGGGTCATCCGTCGCCAAATATACTCTTCGTTTATCCACTTGCATTCTGCGAGAGAGAAGCTGAAAATGTTCTTCAACGTGTACCATGTATTCCTCAATGGGATGGAAGGCTGCTTCTGTTCCTACTTTGTCTGTACGTCTGACGTGTACTCTGGGGGGCAGAGGGAGAAAGTCAGACTCTGCTGATAATGTTCTGATCCTCTGATCCACTGTGTACTTTTAGGCTACTCAACTTTGTACCTTTATTTATGGTGGCATCACAGACATTTTAAACCAATTTTTTTTTTCATTTTTGCCATTAGAAAAATTAAAATGTTTTAAAAATTCAAACACATACATTCTAAATATATTTGCATGTTAACACAATACAAGGAGAATTAGAAAATAAGCTTTAGAAGAATGCTTTCTTATAAAGAAAGTAATTAGCATATCTAAGAACAGTAGAATAAGTGGAAGATTCCAGAGTTATACTCCATATAAGCAGCAAAATACCTACCAGCCTCCCAGAAAAAACTGGATATAACTTTTTAAGATTTTTGGCAACAAATGATACCAAGATTCACAGTTGTTATTACAGAATATTAAATATATTGTTTACAGCATTTGATGCCAACTTCTCTCATTCTTCATTTTACCCTGTATAGTTACTATAACTGCTAGCTTATAGAATTGAAAATTGTCTGAGGAAAACACAGACCTTCAAGAATTCTTCCTAATGCACAATCAAGGCAGGCAAACCTTTTAAGAATTCTTACTATTCTAAGTTCACAGAGACATTCTACCCCTTTTGTTATATGCATAATGAATTTCCTTTTGCTGTTTTTCATGCTGTCAAACACAAGTAGGTATTGATCTCATCTGTCCTATTGTAAAAAAGTTCTAAAACTATAAAACTGGGGACAAAGATTTACATTGTCCTGTGTTGACTTTCACAGTATTTTCCTCCCATCTTAGTGCTTTCAAAGTAATTGCAATGAAAATAATAATGGTCATAGTTTACTTTCATAAATTAAAACTCTCCTTAAATTTGCCCTTCCTGCATCCTCCCCACCCCTCACCAAATTACTAAACCACTATTTATATGTGGGAAAAAGAAAAAAGGAAATTTGTTTCCCTTTAGGCCATGGTATATAGGCAGGCCTTAGGTCGAGCCTAAGCCCAGCTTTTTATTGTGAATCTGGAAGGCAGATCTGTTTTCACTGCAGCTAATCTGATATCTTCATGGGTATCCTCTGCCTTCCAGACTACAGTCCAGATATGCACACCTTTATATTTACACATATCCTATCGTTGTTTCCTTCCCACATCCTTCTTAATCACTGCTTCTCTCTCAGGAAATTGGAATTGTTCACTGGGCTCCACAGGGATAAACAATTCCACTGAATTTCAATGAAAAGTTTATAAGAAGAAACACTCTTTGATACTGATTTCATCATGTACTTTCTTTAGCTCTAACATTTAAAATAAGGGTCAGTAACTTCTATCCATATGAAGACTAAGACACGAGGGAAGATGTTGGGTGGGAGATAGGAAAATGAAAATGAAAATAAAAACAAAGAAGAGCTGTAATAATGGAAGGAAGAATCAAAGGAAGAGGAGCATAGGAAGTACTGGCAGAGTACTACTGAGAAATCTTTTCAAGTCTCCAAGTACTACTGAAATTAGGCCTGGATCAAGAATTTTTAGAGGGGCATAATGGAGTCTCCATGGAAGACTCAGAATATTAGTCTGGTGAAGGATATGAGAAATCATTTTAATTTAATGTAAGTTTTTCAGACATTTAAGGAAACTGATGCTTCTGAAGACATATTAATGAACAAAAAGACAACATAAGGCAAGAGGCGGCTGGTTTCTCATACTTTTCAACCCAGTCCTCACAAAAGTAAAAGTTCTTTGTGTACTTGCCTGACTTTCACTACAGTTGACTCTTCAACAACATGGGTTTGAACTGTGCAGGTCCGCTTATACGCAGATCTTTTACAGTACAGTACTGTAAATGTATTTTCTCTTCCTTATGATTTTCTAATAACACTTTTTCTCTAGCTTATTTTATTGTAAGAATACAGTATATAATACATATAGCATTCAAAATATATGTTAACTGACTGTTTATGTCATTGGTAAGGCTTCCAGCCAACAGTAGGCTATTAGTAGTTAAGTTTTGGAGGAGTCAAGTTATACATGGAATTTCAGCTGCATGGGGGGTGGGGGTCAGCAGTCCTAACCCTGCATTGTTCAAGGGTCATCTATATCAAATTATCAAGCTCTTTCAGGGCAGGGAATGTGATTTTATTTATTTCCAATAGCACCAAATATAATGAATAAATGATTGAATGTTGTGTGGACACAAAAATCTAATTGTTTAGTATCATGTAAGTAGAAACCTTACATACCATCTTAGTTTTTTTTTAGTTTTAAACAAATGAGGAAAGAGTGGCAATCAATGAAGACCTGGAATGATCAAGTATGCTGCCCAAAGTCACACAACTTGTTAGTAGTAGAAGTTAGATGGGACCCCCAGATTCTTGAATTCGAGCACCCTTCTCTTTCATTCCAGCACACTACCTTAATGTACAAATAACTCAATTGTCTCTGGTACTGCAATTTTCTGTATTTGGCCAACTCTCAATATGACGTATGGTCCATGGATAATTAGGCCATGCCAAACTACAGGAAAGCTTCCAAGGAAAGTTAAGATGGTTTTTAGTCCTGGCTTTGCCTTTATTAACTCTGGAACTCTGGGCCGAGATTTTCTTCCCTTTAGTTTCCTAACCTATAAGACAGCTATCTCTACTCTTTTCATAGGACTGTGTTATAGGATCAATGAGATAATGCAGTTGAAGGTATTTTGGTAATTTAATTACTATCCTTTTACCTTTCAAGATCCTGTTTAAACACGGAAGCTATGAAGACTTTCCTCCTTCCCTGAACTCTCATAATAATTTTTATACTTCTCTCAGGGTATTTATCACATTCTGCCCATATAATGTTAGCTGTATATGTCTCTTTTCCAACAGACTGTAATAAGCTAGAAGGAGCCATTAAAAAGAAATTAATCTCTGTCCCCACAGTAGCAGGTGTTCAATAAATGTTCTGCAAATAAGTGAACAAATCAACACCTATATTAATATTAATCAATAGCTGACTTTATTACAAACAGTATATGCTACAGAATGTCATAGTCTAGCCTACAAGTCTATTTTTAGAAATGATTTTAGCATCAGTCTTTCTGAAAGGTAATATTTTACAGTGCATTTTTTCCACTGAACTAAAATCCTTCCTTTTATCCTTTTTATCACATCACTGTTAGGGCAGGTATTACCTTCCCTATTTACAGATGGAAAAATCAAAGCCCAATACTATTATTAAGTAACTTGGTCTAGAATTAGAAAAAATCCAGGAATATTACCTAGGTCACTTAAATCTCAGTCCAGTACTCTTTCCATTAGGCAAAGAACATTTTCCCATGGTATGAAATCTGCCACCCGGACCCAGGAAAATTCCTCTTTCCATAACTTTTTATGTATGTGTATAGGAGCACAAGCTTATGCACAAAGATGCTTCTTTGTATTCTTCTTGGTGGTAGGATTTCCTGATATATCTTCTTGAACATAAGCATGAGGCTGAATGCATATGTACATGGTAAGTCCCAAGTGGGCCAAGAGATAATTTTAAATAATAATTTTAACATTATCTTACATTATAAATACTCTTTTTATTATCAAAACAGCTTCCAGGCCAGAAAACAGAACACCAAAAAATGCAAAATAATCATCAGTGGTAATTAATGAAGCCTAACAAAAAGTACAATAGAAAAGCTATACATGTGATAGCTTCATCTCATGGTCTTGTTAGGATAAGATAGGAGTCATGTATAGTATCCAAACTACTCTCAATAAAATACAATTTTGTTGTTTTCCTCAGAAGAGACAGGTAATTTCAGAAATAAGGGTTTAATATATTTGTTGAATGAATAAATAAGCGAATGGGGGTAACAAAGTATGACAACTCAACTGTTCTCAGTGAACAAAGGGAGAATGATCTCCCTATGACCTAAGGTGAACTCTGGAACATCTGTTTTAGGGTATGGCTTGAAAATTAAACTATATCATAAAGTTCACAATATATTGTAAAGTACACATATCTCTGCTACTACAACATCACATTATGAGAGGAATAAATCAGATTCTTACCCAATAACTGGATGTTTGAAGCCAAGCTTCTTAGTAGTCTCTTCTATTTCCTTTTCCAGCCAAGGTTGTGGGCGGATCAAGTATTTGACAAACTGGGACACCCACCACACTGCAGGATCACCATGGACTCGTACAAGCCGATCTGCAAGGTCTTCTGGTACAGCCAGAGGCAAATATGGTGGACGAGGATGAAGACTGTCTACAATGGGGAGCTCAACCACCTGAACATTTTTGTCCTTTACTTCACCTGTGAGAATATCAAAACATATCATCACCACACTGTATTTCTCATACAATTACCATTGGAGAACTCACTCTGGATGCTTTCATCCTCATCGCAACTCTAAAGCAGTATTACAGACGCAGTTAAGTAACTTACTCAAGGTACTAGCACAAAAGTGACAGAGCTAAATTTCCCATTTAGGTTGGTCTGCTTCTCAAGTCCATGATCTTTTTTTTTTTTTCCCTGTCATAACATGCTGCCATCTCAACACCTCATACCGCAGATAAGGATGCACCCAGCACTCAAAGAATCTAATCAGAGAATAACCATATTGCTAGTGAACACAGCCAGCTAGGCAAAGTTCTGTTTTCTGTCATCATTTTTGTTTTTGAACCAGACAATAAAGTATTCTCAAAACTTCCAGATTGTCATTATAGCAAATGGCTTTTTCATTAATTTCATGACAGAGCACCATGACTCTAGAGATACCTAAAGATTACAATTATAAGCCAAGCAGTTATATCTTTTAAAGGAAAAAAAATGGTAATTCTAAAGTCTTTTTTTTTCTTGGCCAAATTATCTATTATGTTTTCAATGATGATAACAATAAAATTTATGTTGATTGTTTATCTGGACATTAAATTAAAATTAGAATAGAGATTAGATGCTAATTTTTGTAGATGATGATTAATTTCAGAATCCAACTTCTATATATCATTAATGATACTGCTGTTCTATCAATTTTATAATGCAATGACAAGAACAACCCAAAATGGGATAAGCCAGCAACTTTATTTTAATTACTTTATTATTTTTTTAATGTTTTATTTATTCTTAAGAGAGAGAGAGAGAGAGACAGAGCATGAGTGAGGGAGGGGAAGAGAGTGGGACACAGAATCTGAAGCAGGCTCCAGGCTCTGAGCTGTCAGTACAAAGCCAGACCCGGGGCTCGAACTCACAAGCAGTGAGATCATGACCTGAGCCGAAGTTGGACGCCCAACCGACTAAGCCACCCAGGCGCCCGCCCCTAAGCCAGCAACCTTAGATATCGAAGACCACATAGTAGTAACTAGAAGACATGAAGATACCAGGCAGAGAAGTTTTATAAATATAAAATGTACTGAATTAAAATTTCAATAACAGAAAATATTAACCTGAATATACAAAATAATTCCAGTTAATCACTGGACCATTAAAGAAAGAATGCACTTGTAGAGAATAAACCTAGAAGACTTTTAAAATGTATTCACCAGAATGGAACACAGTCCTCAAATTCTGTTTTTCTGCATATATGCAAAGTGTTTTATAGTAAATCTCATCATCTGGGAATGTAATCACTCAAACTACATGATTATAAGAAAGTTGGTTGGCATAACTAAAAATTAAAAACGTCTGGTTAATATTCTCTCTTTCTGACATGTAAAACTCATTTCAGGACTCTTAGAACAAAGCCCTTGAAACATGACATTTGTTGCATGAATAGATGTCACTAAAAAAATTTACCACCAGCACTGCAGTTCATCTGGGGTACTGGTTAAGACAGAGGTGGGCACCTTTATCAGACAAGATACTATAATTAAGAGTGTATGGGGAAAGAGTAACCTGCACTTTAAATTAAGCTCTAATAATCTCCCAAAGGCAAGAGAAATTGGGTGCTTTCTGTGATATGGACATGATAAGAGACATAGCACATGAATGAGAGGAAAAAAAGGAAGAGAAAACAGTTCTTTTTTATAAAAAGGAGAGAAAGAAAGAAACAATCTAACTTCTTTTATATGACCATAAATAAAAGCAAAATTAATAGGGCTACCTTCTTTTTGAGATTTCTTTCTAACACGGTTCTTCTTCTTCTTTTTTTTTTTTTTTTTTTAATGTTTATTTATTTTTGAAGGAAAGAGAGAGTGTGAGCAGGGGAGGGGCAGAGTGAGAGGGAGACACAGAATCCAAAATGGGATTCAGGCTCTGAGCTGTCAGTGCTGAGCCAGACGCGGGGCTTGAACTCACAAACCATGAGATCATGACCTGAGCTGAAGTCAGTCGCTTAACCGACAGAGCCACTCAGGCGCCCCTCTAACAGGGTTATTCTAAATGCTCTGTTTAAGTAGCTCTGTCTTTCACTGATTGCCCCAAGGCCTCAACTTTCTTACAGCTAGTCCTATTGACAGCTTTAAGAAATAAATCGAAACTATGCCTATATCTTCAAGACAGAGAATGTAGTTTATTTTTGTTGGTTCTTTGTTCATTCTTCATTCATGCATTCACTTCACTTGTTCAAATATTTATTGAACACTGCTATATGCCAAACACTGTATGAGGTAGAGTATAGAGTGATAGCATGGTTCGTGTCCTCCAAGATTTCTAGTTCGAAAAACCTTACCCAGAACTGACTACTTTCGTGGAAGAAAAATAAAATAAAATAAAAATACCATCACCAAAAAAACGTGTTATCAAAAAGATATCAATACTCAACTGCCTAGTAAAATATTAAGAAAAGGGTATTTATTAATGAAAAAAAAAGGTTAGCTTCCTCAGTAATGATATATTTTAAAACAAATGAAAATAACGTAGTATATGCTATGGTTAGAAGGTTCCTTTTTTTACTTGGTTTACCACCCAACATTTTTTATTCTACTGGCATTTATATTCAAAAGAATTTAAATCTGGAACAGATCCTAGATTAGAAATGATCAATGCTTAGTGGTTTCTAAACTTTAGTCATTTATGTATTCACTTTATAATTTTTACCATATCCATGTATTAACTGTATTAATGTTTTAAAAATTCATTTTAAAACTTACATGAATTTATTTTATAGATGGCAACTAGAAGTATAACTTCACTAAAAATGAAACCATATCATTAAATTCTATATAGATACTATTGCCTATGAAGGGCCTTGAGCTCAGGCCAGATTTCTATTAAAAGAAGAGATTATCAGTGAGGTTAAAGGGGTGTATAATTGCTTTTCCCCTTACATCTCCTATGAGTTTCAAACCAAATGAGAGACAGAGAGAAGAATAAAATGGCAATCAAAATATCAGCTTGATTACCAATAAGGATGAACTAAAGAATGTAGTTTATTCTTTGAATTTACGGCCTTATGGGTTTTCTAATAGTTTCCACCCAATCCCCATCCTAAAATGAGTCTGTCAAGCAAGGCCTAGTACACTGGGGAGGAGGAAGAGCATGCCTTCTGAGAATGGGCTGTGCCATGAGAGAAGCCAGACAGGGCTATGTCTCACACATTTGTTCCTCCCCCTAAACTCACCAGTTGTACACACTACTTTCCTTTCAAGTGGAAGGGAAATGAGGTAGACAGAAGCAAAAAAACCACTGCAGCACTTTCCCCTTTGAAGGAATGGAATTAATTACCCTTCTATAGAACGTCTTGAGGAATTGGAGGATTCCCCGTGCCTGTTCCCACCCATCTCCACCCCCAAACAATTATCCAGTGTTAAAGAACTATTGCAAAGATTTCCTGACACCAAATTGAGAATTTGTCTGACATAATCAGAAGGGCTGAAAAAGAAATAACTTTTTCAACTATTCAACTCAATGGTTGTTTTAATCTTTTATCAGGAAACTGTCTGAAATTATCTCACATATGCCACCTAAATTAATCTCTAGTAATCTGTGGTAGATTCAGAGTTTGAGAAACACAGATTTACTTAAACTCCCTCATTTTACAGAGGAAACAAACTAGAGAGGTTAAGCGAATTTCTCAAAGTAATAATACAGCTAATAAAAGGGCCAGGATTAGGCTCTATTGTTTACCACATTACTTATATTGCATTCTGCTTTCTGAAAACTATATGTATATATTTCAAAGCATTTAAGTATGTTCCCTTTTGATCAATCAAGAGTGCCTTGTCATTCTATTAAGATGTTAGTGTTAAAAAAAAAAAAAAAGCACTGCATTAACTTTCCAGCAAGAGAATGTTTTATATGTGCAAGTCATACAAAAGTCAGCACTATGCATTTGTAAAGAATCAGAGCAAACTAGCCTAGGAATTATACAATTGACAGCTCAGCTCAACTTGAACTGATATGACCACTATTAATTATTTCAGGGACTCATTTTCAAGACTACCTCCTCTTGTTGCTAATTCTGGCCATATGGTCATTCTCTGCCAAAGGCAGGGAAGACTCAATAGGCTTGCTGGTACACTTATAGCCCTCTGCCAGTAGCATAGATAACTCTTTGACAGGGAGGATGTCCACAGCTGCAGGCAAGTCCCTCTAGCAATTCATGGCAACTCCATTTAAAAGCATTAGTCTATTATCATTCCTTGTGCCCTAAGACAGAGACCCTACCCTGGAATTAGTCAATTAGAATTATTAATCATCAGTAGACTTCAATAGGAAGGTCTTAACATCTACCATGAATGAATAGGTTCTGCTATCATGAAAAACATTTCAGGGGTGGAAAAGATTTTGGGTCCTAGTCCATGAGATTTCTTCTGTATTTACTGTCTTCTTTCTTCAGTTGCTACTCAGTGACTTGTGAGAGAAACACAATTAAACTGGGGGGTGGGAGGTGGGGGTGGAATCTCTTGAAGATAAACCTCAGACAGCCAAAATGGTCAAGGTAAAGAAGTTTGGAATAGGGTTGCCAGTGGAGAAAAATCTCCAATAAGACATCACTACCTGGAACTCAAATTTCACTTGGGGTGAGGTAGGGATTATTAGTAACTTTTTGGCAATTCTCAACCAAAAAAAGCTGTCTGCTTTATGGTCTCAAGACTCTTAAGAAGGTTACCCTCAATATCCACATAGGTCCAGGCTTCTCTCAACTAGGTGTAGAGGGGTAGAATGAGGTTTTAATTCCCTTCCTAAGGGTGGCCTTGAATGGTTATAGTTAGTAAATGCCATCACACCCAACAGCCTTTCCACAGACTGTGTCAGCTGCTGAGATTCATGGCCCTAGTTGAGGCTAGAACAAGGAGAGACATCAAACAAATATGGTCAAGCAAAAGCCTATTCACATGTATGTAGTGCATAGTGATTACAGGTATGGGCTTTGT